AAAGTTGTTGGTAAGCAGGTAATTGACCTGTAGTTGCCTGGTGCTGCCCTTTTGCTGGATCTTTCATTATCAGGTAGGTTTTGGCAGATGTTAACCAATCTCCAATTTTACCTCCTTGCAGTATGTTGTTAAACTGATGGCAATGAGTGGGTGAGGAGCAGTCAGAAGTTTCAACCAAAAACCATGCAGTTCATCTTCACCTGGTGCTGACCAATACTTGATCTTCTTTGTCCTTTTCTTCACCATTTCTACTGTTATTACAAGTTCTTTTATTTCAGCTTTTTATTCTTATCTACCTCTTTTATCCAAGTTGCATTCTTGTTGTATTTCTTTGAGTTGTCCCATAGCTGCAACCAGAACTGCACTGTTTCTTCTTTGTCAGGTGTTACTGGTTCATTGCAGTCTCTCCATTGATGGATTGGTAGAAACATTTCTGATTTGAGTGAAATTGGAGATTCTGCCTATATTGTGCAATTTGGGCTTCGTATCTGCTGATCTTCTTGGCTATGGCTTTTATTTGCTACTTCATTATTTCCAATGCTTCCTTGATCTTACTTGTTTCTAGGTGATATTTCTTGATCAGGTATTCTTTGGTCTTTTTGTTCTTCAGCTTCTTCTCTTTCATCTGTTCTAGCTTGCTTGCATCTGTTCTTAGCATGCTGATCTCATTTTCCAACTTGATCTTCTATTTTGGTGGTGCATCACTGTTGGTGGTGCACTGTATTGGCATTGTTTAATACTTGTGCTAGCCGTTTCTTTATAAGAAGCTTGTTTGTTGTTGTTTTTGTGCTGTTCTAGATGCTGAGTTATTCTTTGTTTCAATTCCTCTTGGGCTTTGTTAACCCAAGGACTTTGTCCTTTCTGAGGAGAAGGCTCTATTTTCTGAGCTACTTCTGGCAAGACTTTGATTTCTTTGCCCTGGGTAGACCTTTGCAGTTCTTCCAATTGTACTTCTGTCAATACTTTATTTTGTGTTATAAATCAACATTGATCTACTAACCCCTGTTCTGTTATTTCTGATTCTGGATGTTGCTCTTTCTAGAAGTGGTACATTCTTCTCAGATATCCTCTTCTCATTGGACTTGATTTGTAATGGCAGATCATTATTTCTTTGTTTTCAGTCTTTGTATATTTACGGTGGGTAAACAACTTTAGTTCCAGTAGTTCTGCAACTGCTGACCCTGGTTGCTCAGCCAACAGTCCTGTAGCCAACTTGGTACCAAATGTCCAGGAACTAGAACACCTAGTGCAGTCTTTGTTGACCCAGGCGGTGAGCAATCCAATAAGGGTTTCTGTAAACTACATCTCACCATATTGTTTATGGGAGAGACACTCTTTTTCTGGCTCCTCTGATGAGACCTATCCAGTATGGCTGAAACTCTGGCATATCTTTGATCCTCCTCAGAGCATGCAAGCCCCACAACCATGTCAAGGTAGTTTCTCATTGGGGAATGATGATGATGATGATGATGATGATGATGATGATGATGATGATTTCAGTCAAAAACATTTTAATTTTTGAAATTCAATTTGTTCTGGTTTGTAAATTGTATAACACATTTCATGATTTATTTATTTATTTATTTATTTATAAATTTAATGTAACAATTCTATATAAACTTTATCTGCATTTTTATGGTAAGTCACCAGAAGAACTTTATAAAAATGAATATCTATGCTGTGACTTACTTTTTCTTTCTTTCTTTCTTTCTTTCTTTCTTTCTTTCTTTCTTTCTTTCTTTCT